AAGTGATTGTTGTTGTTGTTGTTGTTGTTGTTGTTGTTGTACAGCGCGAGTGGGTCTGGTACAAGCCGACGGGTCAAGCCTGGCACGGCAGTCCCCAAGGTTCCCTACTGAGCCCGCTCGGCTGCCGAATGGATGGCCTAACGGGCTCAAATTTAGGTCGGGAATGTCCCCCTGCAGGCGGATTTTGGAAGCAGAATGAAAGCTAGTCGAAGAATATTCAAGAATGGTCAAACATCGTCGAAAATCGTCCCCAGACCATTCCTTGACTATTTCTGGATGTCCCTCCTGTAGAGGGACTTGCCCGACGCAAGCTCAGATCCAGGCTGCTGATGTTGACCTCGCCCGTTCGGTGGCCGAACATGGGCTCGATCCGGGGGCGTAGATGTTTTTCGCCCGGGTTGGTTTTCGCCCGGTGCGTTTCGCCCGGTTCGTTTCGCCTGGGTTTGCTTTCGCCCGGTTGGCTTTCGCCCGGGTTGGCTTTCGCCCGGGTTGGCTTTCGCCCGGGTTGGCTTTCGCCCGGGTTGGCTTTCGCCCAGTTGGCTTTCGCCCGGGGTGGCTTTCGCCCGGGTTGGCTTTCGCCCGGTTGGCTTTCGCCCAGTTGCCTTTCGCCTGGGTTGGCTTTCGCCTGGTTGGTTTTCGCCCGGGTTGGCTTTCGCCCGGTTGGCTTTCGCCCGGGTTGGCTTTCGCCCGGGCTCGTTTTCGCCTGGGTTCAACTTCGCCCTCCTCTTCCTCTTCTCCTCTTCCCTCTACTGTTCTTTCATGCTGCTGCTGCTCCTCTTACCGAACCCGACCCGACCCGCCCGTTAGGGTTCGCGCGTGCTCGCTCGAGCCCGCCCCACACCTCAGCGTCCCGCCCGCCCGACCCGACCCGCCCGTTAGTAGGGTCCGCCCGGCCGGACCCGGCCCGCCCGTTAGGGTCCGCCCGACTCGACCCGACCCGCCCGCTAGGGTTCACGCGTGCTCACTCGTGCGCGCCCCACACTTTAGTGCCCCGCCCGCTTCACCCGACCCGCCCGTTAGGGTCCGCCCGACCCGACCCGACCCGCTTCGCCCGCCAGGGTCCGTCTGCCCCGCCCGACCCGCCCGTCAGGGTTCACGCGTGCTCCCTCGAGTGCGCCTCCACACTTTAGTGTCCCGCCTGCCCGACCCGACCTGCCCGTTAGGGTCCGCCCGGCCCGAACCCGCCCCGCCCGTTAGGGTCCGCCCGACCCGACCCGACCCGCCCGTCAGGGTTCACGCGTGCTCACTCGAGCGCGCCCCACACTTTAGTGTCCCGCCTGCCCGACCCGACCCGCCCGTCAGGGTCCGCCCGACCCGAACCGTCCCGCCCGTTAGGGTCCGCCCGACCCGACCCGACCCGCCCGTTAGGGTTCACGCGTGCTCACTCGAGCGCGCCCCACACTTTAGTGTCCCGCCCGCCCGACCCGACCCGCCCGTTAGGGTCTGCCCGACCCGACCCGACCCGCCCTGCCCGTTAGGGTCCGCCCGACCCGACCCGACCCGCCCGTCAGGGTTCACGCGTGCTCACTCGAGCGCGCCCCACATTTTAGTGTCCCGCCCGCCCGACCCGACCCGCCCGCTAGGGTCCGCCCGACCCGGCGCGACCCGCCCCGCCCGTTAGGATCCGCTCGCCCGACCCGGCCCGCGTGTGAGGGTCCGCTCGACCCGTCCCGCCCGTTAGGGTCCGCCCACCCGATCGGGCCCGCACGCTGGGGCTCACGCGTGCCCACTTGAGCGCGCCCCGCATTTTTTAGCGTCCCGTTCTGACGCATCTCAGACCCTCCTTGACATCCAGGATCTCCTTGACCCCCCCCCACGTCTCTGCGACCCTTTCGCCTACTCAAGCGGCGCGCCTCAAAGGCTCCCAGGGGTCAGCACGGCGGCGGCGACGGCCACGCCAGCGACGGCGGCGCCTACTTTTGCCCCTGAGCCTGCCCCGCCTGCTCCCCGCCCGGCCCCGGCGAAAGCCAACCCCCCCGGCGAAAGCCAACCCCGGCGAAAGCCAACCCCGGCGAAAGCCAACCCGGCGAAAGCCAACCCCGGCGAAAGCCAACCCGGCGAAAGCCAACCCCGGCGAAAGCCAACCCCGGCGAAAGCCAACCCGGCGAAAGCCAACCCGGCGAAAGCCAGCCCCGGCGAAAGCCACCCCCCGGCGAAAGCCAACCCCGGCGAAAGCCAACCCCGGCGAAAGCCAACCCCGGCGAAACGAAGCCCGGCGAAACGAAGCCCGGCGAAACGAAGCCCGGCGAAAGCCAACCCCGGCGAAAGCCATCCGTGCCGATCCGGGGCCCATTGTCGGCGGCCGCACGGCCTCGGGCGCCACGTGGGCTCAGATGGGCGCACCTCTGGGGCGGCCCGGGGGATTCGCGAGCGGCGACGGTACAGTGGAGGCCCTTGCCAAGAAACACCCTGCTTGCCTCCAGGGTGCCCTGGGCTTCTTGGGTTTCGCCGGCGTTTCTCTGGAAAGCGCGGCGCTCCCACACCAAAAATCCATGGACGGCCTGGGGTCTCAAGGTTGGGTTTCTTGTGGGAAGTTTCTTGTGGACTGGCCTCCACTGCATCCGTATCCGGGCCCTCGCGGTCTGGATGCCAGGGCGCGGTCCTGCGGAAATGCGGTCGCAAGGATACCAATCGGTCGGAAGGAGTAGGCAGAAACATCAACTAGGAAGGCATTTAAGTAGATTCGGTTACGTCCGCCCCCCGAGAAGGACGGAACAGGTGAAGCCACTCGATCATTGGAGTAGGAAGGCGTTTAGGGTAGATTGGAAACTGGGAATCCCCCAAAAACATACTTTCAACGACCTATGTGTGTGTGTATATCCCGCGGCTTTCGCCCACTATTTGGAAGCCTGAAGTGGACTCGGTCAGATGGGTACAGTGCCAGACACCAAGTGCTGTCTTAGCGGAGCAGACTGTGCTAAAACAAAAAACCATGTTTGGAGTTTTCAAACTGATGCTCCAGGACACTTTCTGTCTGCATTGAGAGCACTCTTATGCGCGCAAAGAGCATTACGAGGTTTCCAGCGGTAGCCTGGTAGACGGTTTACCGCAGGCGCTCAGTTCGACCAGAGCTAGAGGGATGACCTCATACGTCGCCGAGCTCTTGGTTCGACCAACCGAACAGCGGCCGCTGTTGGGCAGGCCGCCTTCCGCCTCTGAGGAGCCACGTCCGCGGCGACACCAAGAGCGAACCTTGTTCAAAAGATTTTTCGTCGGCGGCTAGGCAAAGGCGGTCCGCGCCAGCCTGGGGCGAATCGGGGCAACCGGCGGCAAATTGTCCGGCGCGCAAGAAGCAGAGGCGAAGACGAGGGCGGCCGCGCGAAGGGAGGAGGAGGAGGAGAGCGCTCGGACGCAGAAGCGTTCCGCGGTGGGCGGGCCAAAGCGACCAGCCAGGGCAGCGGGGAAACCCAAATGAACAGGAACTGCTGTCGGTCTTCGTCTTGGTTGCCCCAAAAGGGGGTCCAGCTGGAAAGGGGTGGTGCAATAGGCTTGGCGAACATGTTTTGCAAATGTACTGCGCCAGAGAATTGTGCTGCATTGCATGGAAGCTAGCGTTTTGTACGCGAAAACCTAGTAATACATTTGCGCCGCGGAATGCGTTGCACGACCCAAATCTACTGCAACCCACAAACATACGTAGCACCCCGCAATTGCGGATAAGAGTGAGGGGGCGGGCGCGGGCGACGCGGGCGTCGAGCCGGCGGACCTCGTGGCCCTCACATTCCCTGTCGATGGCGCCCTGTTATTCCTGCTCTTCCTGCTCCTCCTCCTCCTCCTCCTCCTCTTCTTCGTCCCCTTTGGATTTTTCAAAGAACGTAGTTTGGGTCGCGGGTGGGTCGCGGGCTCTTCACCTCTACCTGGAAGGAATGTCAAACAGCCCGCCCCAGGCGCCGAACATTTTGATTTGTACACTCACTTAACACGGTCTGGGTCGCAGGTTTTCCACCTGGAACGAATGCAAAAATCCCGCCGCAGGCGCCTAAGTTTTGGATTGTTCAGTGAACGTAGTTTGGGTCGCGGGCGGGTCGCGGGAATTCCACCTCCACCTGGAAAAGATTCAAAAACGGCCTGCCGCAGGCGCTGAACATTTTGATTTGTACACTGAACGCGGTTTGGGTCACGGGTGGGTCGCAGGTTCTCCACCTGGAACGAATGCAAAAGAAGCCCGCCGCAGGCGCCGAACATTTTGGGTGGGTCACGGGGGGGGGGGTCGCTGGTGGGTCGCGGGTGGGTCGCGGTGGGTCGTGGGTGGGTCGCGGGCGCGGTTTGGGTCGCGGGTGGGTCGCAAGTTTTCCACCTGGAACGAATGCAAAAGAAACGCGCCGCAGGCGCCAAACATTTTGGGTGGGTCGCGGGGTGGGTCGCGGGTGGGTCGCGTGGGTCGCGGGCGGGTCGCGCGGGTCGCGGGTGGGTCGCGGGGTGGGTCGGGGTGGGTCGCGGGTGGGTCGCCGGTGGGTCGCCGGGGGGGTCTCGGGGTGGGTCGCGGGCTGGTCGCCGGTGGGTCGCTGGGGGGGTCTCGGGGTGGGTCGCGGGCTGGTCGCGGGGTGGGTCGCGGGGTGGGTCGCGGGTGGGTCGCGGGTGGGTCGCGGGTGGGTCGCGGGTGGGTCGCGGGTGGGTCGCGGGTGGGTCGCGGGGTGGGTCGCGGGGTGTGTCGCGGGATGTGTCGCGGGTGGGTCGCGGGTGGGTCGCGGGTGGGTCGCGGGTGGGTCGCGGGGCGGGTCGCGGGTTGGACGACGACAACAGCAACAAGAATCCGCATCGCGGAATTCCACATCAGCCACGCACCCATGGACAGTGAATGACCGTTCGGTTCAGCCCCCTCACTCTGATGTTGCACCAACTCTACTGCACCACCCCCTTGTCGCTGGACCCCCTCGTGGCTTAACCAAACTCGCGCCCATTCCTTCGGTGCCCGTGTCGACAACACCGAATGCAGATCCTGTGCTTTTCCCCACGCGGCGCGGCAGGTGGGCTGGGCCCGGCAGCGCGCGACGCGGGGCCTGGCTCTCGCGCGGGAGCTGCTCGGCCTCCACGGCCTGGTGGACCGCCGGGGCGCCGTCCGCGCAGACCTGCGCCGCCGCTGGCGGCCCGGGGGTTTCGCGGGCGCGCAAACATGGAGTAGCAATCCATGGACTTGGCGCGCGGTCGCCAAATCCATGGATCGGGGGAGGTGCCCTCCCCAGAATGCGGCCAAAGCCGCCTCGTTCGGCGGCGGGAACCCGCGGCCTCCCATGGAAACGGGACCCGCCGCTAAGCCACGCCCCCTTGATCCATGTCGGCGATCGCCCAAGGGCTTGTGGACGCGGGCGGGGAGGGGAGGCAGAGAGGGACGCTCTTGGACCCTTTTGTGAAGCACAGCGTGCTGAGCAGGAGGATATGAGGAAGAAGAGAAAGGAACGACAGAAGGGCCCCGATCCGCGAAGTCGGGCCTGTCCTCCTACAGGGGGATTCTGGAAGACAAATAAAACATAGTCAAACAAATACCCCAAATGGCAAACAAATACCCAAAACATCGCTCCCATATTATTTTTTGACTATTTTTCGATAATCCTCCTGTAGAGGGACAGGCCCGCCCTAGAGGTCGTCTCTCCCCCAGCCTTCGCCCCCTCCACAAGGATGTAGAGAGTGAAGGGGCCCTGAGACGCACTAATAAATATACACAAATAACAGGATCCCCCTACTTTCCCATATTTTCTAGGTTTCTGTCTTCCCCCCCTTCCCATATTTTCCCATATTGTTCTGGGGAATCGACGATTAATGTTGTCTGTGTGTTTTTTTCCCCCTGAGAGAGGGAGTCGGGGGGAGGGAAGAGAGATGGAGGAGGGGGGCGCCCCCGTCCTCCTCCTGCTCCTCCTCCCCCCCCCCCTTCCTCCCCCGACCCGTCGTCCTCCTTGATCTCCTCCACTTCCTCCTCCCCCTCCGAAGGGGGAGGAGGAAGTAGAGGGTCACAAGGAGGATCGTGATGATGATGATGACGCTGATGAAGATGAAGAAGATGATGATGATGATGATGATGATGATGATGATGATGATGATGAAGATGAAGATGAAGATGAAGAAGAAGAAGATGAAGATGAAGATGAAGATGAAGATGATGATGATGATGATGATGATGATGATGATGATGATGATGATGATGATGATGGTGGTGGTGATGATGATGCTGATGCTGATGCTGATGCTGATGATGATGATGATGGTGATGATGATGATGATGATGATGATGATGATGATGATGATGATGATGATGATGATGATGATGATGATGATGATGATGATGATGAGGGGGGGGCGGGCGGGGGGCGGGGGAGGAGAACGTGGAGGAGCCGCGCTCCAGTTGCCCCCCCAACTCGCAGTGAGCTGAAGAGGGTACACCTGAACCCATCCCGGTGGACGCGGCGGCCGTCGGCGCAATACCGACAACACTGGGGCAACTTGCGGGACAGACCGCGCCGCCAGGACCCAGTAGCTGAGCGATAACGGGCCACATGAGAAGGATGGGGGGAGGAGGACCCCTTGGGTTCGTTCACTCCCCCCCGGCGTTGGCCGGGAGCGGCCCTCGTCCCTCCCTCTCGTTCCTCCCTGTTGCTGCTCCTCTTCAGCCCCCTCCCTCCCTCCCTCCCTCCTCCCTCCCTCTCGACACATTCCCCACGTCCTTCCCTCCTCTTGCCGCCGTCCACATCCCTCCGCCTCCCTCTACCCTCCACCCCCTTCCTTGGCACATCCTCCTACTCTTCTTCCTCCCTCCCCCTCCGTACCTACAACCCCCCCCCCGCTACCTTCCTCCTCCTCCCTCCTCCCCCCACTCCTCCTCCCTCCTCCTCCTCCTCCTCCTCCTCCTCGTCCTCCTCCTCCTCCTCTTCGCTCTCGTCCTCCTTCTCCTCCTCCTCCTTCTCCTCCTCCTCGCTCTCGTCGCCCTACTCCTCGCTCCCTCCCCTCAGTAAAGACCCCGCGAACGCGAGGGGCGGGCGGGCCAATGCACTGAGGCCAGACCCAGACCATGGGCGAAGAGAGCGCACGCGGGGAGGAGGTGGACGCGGAGAACGAGGAGGACGAAAAAAGGAGGAGAAAGCAAGCAGCAGAGAAGCGCAGAAGGGAGATGGACGGAGGAACGAGGAGGTTGGGGAGGACGAGGAACTGAGGAACTGAGACGCCAGAGACCTGACGGAAACCTGAGGACGGTGACGAATGACTATGCAAGTGATGACGACGACGAAGTCGACGGCGGAGACAACGACCACTGCGACGACGACGAAAACGAAAACGAAGACGACGACGACGACGACGACGACGACGACGACAACGACGACGACAACAACTACGACGACGACGACGACGACGACGACGACGACGACGACGACGACGCCCCCCGGGCGTGACCGATGAGCCCCGCTCGCTCGCGGAGTCCTCGGCGCAAGCGGACGACGCCGCTGTGGTCGCGTCGTCCCACTGGTGGTCGCCCTGCTGTGCCAGAGAGGGACGTCGCGGGGGGTGGCAGGAAGGAGGAGGAGGAGGAGAAGGAGGAGGAGGACAAGGAGGAGGAAGAAGAGGAGACAGGACAGGACAGGACATCCGCACACCTCCTCGTCCTCTTCCTCCTCGCACATCATGTCCGAACAATTCCTCCCCATCCCCCCCCCTCCTCCTCCTCCTCAACTCATGTCCGCTTTTCTCGCTAAGAGCACAGCATGATAATCGTTCCTCACATGCCGCGCATATTGCAAGGCAACCGTCCACGGCTTTTCGTGCTGTCCCCTTGGGCCTGGTACCACTGATGCCATTGGGTGTACGAATCACGCACGTGTCGAACTCAACCCAAACATAAAAATATTGACCTCTTCCGTATGTATATAATCCTCATCCTCCTGACTCAAATTACATGTCCCTCGCCCGTACACATTATCCGTACACCTCATCCGTGTCCCTCTCCATCCAAACACATCATTACATTCCCCTTACTCATTCGTCATCCTACTCCTCCTCCGTCCTCCTGCTCCTCCTCCGACATCCCACTCCTCCTTGTGTCCTGGGTGCTGCGCCAACATGGCATCGCATGACGCGAAAAAACAATTATCGTCGAGTCGCCCGAAGCTTGGCTGATTTGCGCGACAAACAAGCGACAGCGGGCGCCCCAGTCACAGAATAGAACATTCTTCCCCTGTGGAGCTCCAACCTTGAACTGCCTTCAAGGGCAACGCAGCAATCATAGAGTTCTACTCCCACGACATTGCACAACATCGTAGCAGTGCCTCCCAAACATCCTCAGGATAGCTTGAACCTCCCCCTCGACACATCCCCTATCTCAAGCGCGGGGAGGCATAGTGGACGTCCTCGCTGGAGGTGCCCCCTCTGGTGATGGTGGTGTCGCTCTTCCTTCCCACGACGAGGGGCCGCAGAAACAATGGCCCGACACCACGGCAAACTTTAATCAGTAACACCCGTAAGGCGCTGAGGCACCCCAGCCGCGTCTCTCGTGGGCCGCCACCCCCACCACTCGTGGGACGACCGTCGCGAGGGCAATGAAGAGCGTAAGCCTTTGGATCCCACCTGTGCTCAGCAGCTTCTGGGACTGCCGGGCCGTGGGGCGCACGCCTACGACTGTAGCTCGGCGCGTGCACCGCGCTCTTCCCAGAGCGGCCTCGCCGCGAGCGCCGCTCATCGGACGATCGGCGGTTTGCCGAAGCGCCAGATCTTTCAACATCGGCCGAGTCTGGTCCACCGACGGACTTCAACCCTGAACGCCCGAAGTGGGCTCGCCGCGGCGTCGACACGACGCGAAACTACCGTAGATGCCTTCGCATCTTACCAGGCCCCGCCCAAGTCAAGAAAATCATACAACGACGACTCGTTTCTTAGACAGACCTGCAATATGTTGTTGTCTGTGATGTTGCGGGACCCCCACGTCGTCCTAGTTCACAAAGCATGGTCACTCACAAAAACTCATAAGTAGCAAGTTTTGCATGCCGTTCCCACATGAGCTGCGCTCGCTGCGCCTGCTTGTCTGCAACGCAAAACGCTAGCACCAAAGTTGCGTCCATCGTCGGCCGATGCTGGTAAACATGTTAGACGAGACAGCACCTACGTACCTGCTTCCTGCATGCAACTGTTCCGCGCATCTGAGGGCAACAGTGGCAACGGCTAGGTACCAAATTCGGCAAACACGCATAGGGGACAATTTTCAGCTTTAGACTGTCCCCTCGGAAACGCTGCATCAAAAAAGCTGCGCTATCGTATCTGCAGCGCTGTATACTGTTGCTCGTACGTATTGCAAAGTACTGATAGGATGTAATTGTACTTCCATCGTCCATAATCGACAACTCATAAGCGCTGTATGCTCTTCCGCGCGCTCTTGGCTGGAAGAGGACAGAGCCTGAAAAAGCCAGTCAGAATGCATCTCAACCACTTCGCCCACCACAGGAATTCTGAGATCGGGGCCTTCAAGGCTCACTCGAACGAGAAATCCTGGCATGGGTCTCCATGTGACAAAATGTTGTAACCCTAGGTAACCTTGGGTTCACGTACCCCCAATGTGTCGGCGAGCTGGAGCACGATCTATCTGCACAAAATCCAAAACTGATTGCTGACTCTTTCCCTTCCTCCTCGTACCCTCGCCATCCTCCCCATGCTCCCACATTCCTCTCATCCCCCTCATCCTCTTCATCCCTCTCCTCGTTCCTCCCTCCTCCTTCTTCTCTCCTGATCCTCATCCCGCCGCAGCACCCCCGACCACAAAGCACAGCGGCGGGTTAAGACGAAGGGCGCTAGATAAAGAGTGCAAGAGATAACATTTAAAACATGGAAACCTGACCAGACAAGAACGGGGAACGCCGCTTTCGTCCACTGGGACCGGTGGGCAAAGACGAGGAATAGAAAGAAGAAAAGGAGGACAAGAAGCCGATCAAGAGGACGACCGTGTGGAGAATGGGGAGGATCGTGAGGGGGAGCAGGAGGAGAACGAGGAGGGAGAGACACTCAGGGACGATGACGAAGGGAACAACGAGGTTGAACATGATGAAGAATGAGGATGACGACGACGACGGAGGAAAACAAGAAGCAAGAGGAGAATGACATCGAAGGAGGGATCCCGGTGACCTGACCCGGCTACCCTGGGGGCTGCGGGCGCCGTCTAGGGATGTCCTGGGGCCCGTAAGGGGTTTCTTGGGGGACTCTTGGGTCCTCCTGTGGGCTTCTGGGGTCTTCTTGGGCTGTCTGAGCGTGTCTTGGGGTTTGTTTGGGGCTCTCTTGGGCCGTCTCAGCGCCATCTTGGAGCTCTCTTCGGCCGCTTGTGCGCCTCCTGTGGAGAAAGGTTCAGGTTCAGATCCTAACTGCACGGTCCAGATCAGAGACAAACGGTTCAGACCCCAATTGGTTCATGGAAATTGGCAAGAGAACGCACGTCATGCTGACCCTGGGCGCGCGAGAGAACGGGCCCGCCAACTGCCCACCCTGTTCCGTTTCCGGGAAATCCCGAAAATCCGGCGACAAATTGCAAACCCGCGCCCTCGCGGGGGAGATTCTCGGAAAACTGGCACACAGAGCCTCCCCAAGGAGACCTCAGAGGGCCCCCTGTTCCGTTTCCAAGTACTCCCGGAAATCTGGCCCTCGCGTGGGCCATCCTCAGAAAACCGGCTACCCGTGCCTCCCCAAGGAGGCCCTCAGAGGCCCGTGCCGTTTTCAAGAAATCCGATAATATTTGGCGACAAATTCCACACCCAACCGGCGCCTTCGCGTGGGACACTCCAGGGTGGCCCTGAGACGCGCGCTGGGGCGAACACCGAACAATCGTACCACCGTGTTCTAGAGTGCGAACCGTTTTTTCGGCCATGGTTCGAGTAGCTCTCAGGCGCCCCGATGCTCTGGACATACGCTTCCGATGCTGCTGAAACTCCCGGTGCACGTGAGACCTCTGCAGCAGCTCCGAGTCCCTGGATGAGGTCGACCAACCGAACGTTTGCCCTCGCATGTTATAATGTGCGAGTAAGTGTTCGGACATAGCTCGAGGAGCAAGCCGATCTCAGGCTGTTGGGCCATGCGAAGAGAAGCTTGTGATGCTCCTGAACCTATTCGTCTGCATTTTATAGCTGCTCCAAACGTCGAGATTACATCGAAAGACCGAGCGCTTGCATCAAAGAGTTGCAGAGTGCGAACAGTTGTTGGGTCATAGCTCGGGTAGCAGGCCGAGTCTAGGCGCCCCGATCATCTGGACTAGAGCTTCTGATGCGACTGCAGCTTTCGATGCACATGGAATCTCTGTAGCTGGCCTCGCTCTCAAGCAAAGTTAGCAAAATTACACGTTCTGCAAAAATTCCGGGGCATCTCGGCTCCTATCGAGCCGCCGCCCACGCCGCACCCACCGCGGCCACCTCGTCATCGCGCACCTCCCGAGCAAAACCGTCTAGCGCTCCGCCGCCAGCGCCCGCCCATTCATTCTCTCCCGCATCCCCAGCGGGCCGCTTCTCTGCTGCCTGCAGCTCCGACTGCAGGAGCTCTTTGCCGTCTGGTCTAAGCTTCCCTCGCGGCCGCCCTAGCTCCTCTGCGTCCGCGTCGAGGTTCGTTGCGACCTGACAACGTCGCAGCGCAATTTCTCCATCGGGCCCACGCCACCCATCCCTTCGCTGGCAAAAGAGCCTCGCTGTCGCGGCACCAGCCTACTGGTTCTCACCCCCTTTTTGATGGGGGACCGCCCTGGCACATCTCTCTGGGCGGACCCGAGGTGGCCGGAGAGGGGCAACCCATCGCTCCGGCCGATCAGGGCAGGTCGGGCGGGGATCACCGCGGTCGAAGTACTCGCCCGCTTGTGTGGCTAACCACGCAGTTAAAGATGCGCGTCGCCTGGCTCCTGCAATCGCGGCTGCAACGGATCTGAGGATCTTGAGAGTCTCATCGGTGCTCCCGCTCACGCCTGACCCATGGGCAGCGGCAGGTAGGAGCCCTGTTCGCCAGAGTGTCCTGACCTTATGCTGGGTTCCACGAGCGAGCTCCCGTAGCCCATCTTTTCGGGCGACCAGTCCTGCGCATCGCCTCCTCTCGATGACTCGTCGGAGTTTGCGTCCACATGGCTCAAGTCCAAATTTCCTCAGGTGCGTGCACGTCTTGATTCGCATTGCCCTGGTGTTCTTCCAAATGCATCGCTTGGCCTTGTAGCTGCTAGTGACGCATCCACTTTTAGAAGCTTGAATCATGAGGCCCATGTCGTAGACGCGTCTGATGAATTACGCCACCGCAGGGAAGAGGACGAATGATTGCTTTGGATTCGCCCCTGTCCATTGAAAGCATGCGTCGTCCATGAACATACGTGGTACTACGCTGTCATGTCTGGCTTTGATGTCGATCAAGTTACTGTGAAGTAGCAAATGCACCATCGCAGAAGCATGTGAGCAGCCAGACAGGGCGACCTGGTAACCGGTATATTCGTAAGACAGAGATCCCCAAGCTCACACTGTGCGTGGGCACTGGTAGCTAATAGAGGATCATCCATAATAGCCTGAGCGGGTAGCCAAGAGAGTGCGGTTTATTCGATTATAGTATGAAGCTTGATCATCTCGAAACATGTGTACACATCAATGAGCAATGTGACCGGCGTGTGGACTTTCAGCTGTGCCAATTCTGATTGGAGACTCTGTGCAAAAAGCAGAGACGAGAGAGGTGCATCCTGGCCGAGCCCCCCAGAAAAAACGGTTCTGATGCTGCTGCTCCCAGTCGCGCGCTATCGGCCTACGGGGTCGTGACCATATCCTGACACAATTAGTGATGAGGGCGACCAGTCGATGTCCTCCTGATGGTTTGGATAATCGTATCATTCTGGTTTGCAAGCGTTGTGAGGGCCAGCAGCAAAGTGATTCGCATCGTCGTAGCAATTGTAGCAAAGCTTCCAACCCGTAGCCAGAGATGACGTCCAAGGCTCTGGGATGTATGTTAACATGTCCAATCGCCGAACTGAGCTTGAACTGTCTGGGTACTTGCCGCAGCTGTGGTACCTCTGCCCAGGTGTCCATGCAAGAGTCCGCCATCTCAGAGGGTTGCGTGGCAGTGGTAAAGTCCAGCACCCCCTGTAAGTCCCGAAGTAGAGATAATATATGCGCCTGTCCAGCTCCATTCGCGAAGGAAGCTTGGGCCCATTCACTCCACTCAGCCGCTTTGAAGTAACCAATCGCCTGTGTGACCTTCTCAACTTTGTCGATCATGCTCTGGGCGGCCTCAAAGAAGCTGTCCTGGCAGAAGGTGCTGCTGAGGACCCCAAAACAAACATGCTCCAAGCCCTCCGCATCAAGATGTGGTGCAATCCACTTGGTCATCGAGGCTCTGTGGAAAAAAACCCTGGAGGTACCAAGCTAACTTGGCGAGGAGCTTCACCTCCTTATGATGTACATCAGGTGGCACTTCCTTGTCGTCAATAGTTTGATTAGTGCCAAATGTGGCCAGGGGGGGAGGGAGGGAGCGGAGGGAGGGAGAGGAGGGAGGAGGAAGCAGGCAGCAGGCAGGGAGAGGAAGGGGAGACGGTAGGAGGCAGGAGGCGGGAGGAATGAGTGAAGAGAGACGATGTTTCGGATGTATCATTCTCCAGATGGCCACAGCGGGGGGGGCAGGGAGGAGGGGGGCAACTCCTCCGCGCGGGGTAGCCACGCTGTCATCGAGCTGCCAGCTTTCATGCCAACGGCACTACCAAGGCATTCGCGACGTCGCGAAACAATATGATTACTTCGCTACTTGCGCGATAACTGTGCGCTTCCGCTACTGACAGGCACTGTGGCGTACGGACGAATGCAAGACACGCGCTCGGAGCTAGCATGATGCCAACCTTGTAAAAAATGATCCACCGATCCAGGTGGACTCAACTCATACTCCGAACTCCGAGCGGGGCTCGACCACTCACATTGTGGGGCAGCTGAAAGCCGCGACGAGCCGCTGCCCCAAGTCCAGCGACCTCGTTCCACGCGACACGGCGGCACCCACGTGGACAGAGGCTGGTGCCGCGTGGGGGCTGAGGGACCGTGTCGGTGGAGCATTGAGGGTAATCTGTGAGGTTGGTGCCCGTTGTCTATTTCCGTCTCGCGCTCTGACCGACAGCGTCCGTTGGCGAATGCACAAGCAACGCTGGGATCTGACTGTTACGCGTTCGCATCAGCTGGCAATGCTCTGCTCCATATGCCAGCATTTTCTTCCCCGGCGGAAAACCTGCTTCGACGGGAAGAGACGAACATAGTGCCTGGCCGTCGCCTCTGATTATGGAAAAGGTTCCCCTGTCGAACGCATCAGGCTTATGCACTCGTAGCACAAGTCAGCTACCTGTAATTCTGGATTCCAGCTTCCTGAGGGCGCTGGACATGCGACAAAAGCCGAACTGCTCCGCTACCCAGCAAAGAAGAGGGGATGATAGCAGGAGACCTGTGCCTCTCTGGTGCTCATCCCTCCCTCCCACAGCCGTGCAGCGCTGTAGGGGAGCGACGAGAGCCGGATCGGCTGACCCCTTCTGGATCACCAGGCGTGGGAAACTGCTCCCGCTTCCAAAACTCCTGCCTCGCCTGACCCTTGCACGGCTCACTTCAGGCAGCAACACAGGGCCTGAAAACATGTCTCACTCGGTCCTGCACCGCATCAGGCATCCAAAAGGTACTTGCAAGATAGCTCAAGACGGCCCAGTGTGTTCTCCAAGAGACCCCCAGACAGCTGAAAGGTTCCTCGAGGCGGTCAGTGGGCCTCGACCATACCACCAACTCCGTTGTGCCCCTGATGAAAAGCCAAGCTGTTTGGTCTTATCGAGGGCTTACCCAAATACTGGTTGCGAACATGTGTTCCCGATCAGTTTGCGAACCGTTCCTTTTGAACATCCTTCTTTCCCTCAACTGAGAGTTCGCGACCAGATGGATACCAACCGTTGACAAACTGTTTGCGAACATCCGAACACGAACACGCTGCTAACCCTTCCGAACACATTATAGGGCACGCCTGCGCAGGTTCTGATGCGATGGGATCTAAAGCAGTGCAATTGAACTGGTGCTGATTCTCGCTTGAGGTCACCTAGCGCGTGAAGCCTGCCCCCCTTCCAAAACTCCTCTGGCAAACGGCCACAACTGCGCATTCGAGATTGGGTGCGTACGGGGTGTGACTCGTTTTTCTCATTATGTCACGAAGGTTCGCCAAAAAAGAAAACAACGTCGTGATACATTCGAATCGAACCTCCTCCAAACGGAAACCCGCTAGAACCCGCATTTCGATAAGCGAAAAACGAGACACGCGGATCCCCCACCTCCAAACAAACATGCGCACACTGGGGGGGGAAACAAGAAACCTCGATACGCGTGTAAAATTGGACGAAGCGCAGGGAGCTCTGCGTAGTCCCCCTGTGCATTCATCTCGCTCCTTAAAATTGCGGGGCTCGCCGCATAGGATATCAGCGCATGCGTAGACTATGACGGCCAAACTATGGCGAAAAAGGTAGAGGACGCCAGGAGCCTTCTGGTAGTCCTCGAAGACCTGCAACACAGCGCGGCTCATTTCTAGCCAC